ATATATCCATTTAGTTGAAAGAAAAAAAAAGATATGTATATATATATACTTTTTCTTTCAACTAAACGGATATTCTCCCAAGCGACCGCTACTCTGTGAACCATATGCGCGTTCCCATGAGGAATTAATGACAAAAGAATCAGAAGCCATAACTACCCAACTATTCTCTACCGCTCTTTCATTTTTGTTATCTGCTTATTGTTCATGCCTCTGAAATAGGGGATTTGACTTTCTTTGTGTCTTGAAATATCTGGAAAATCATGCACTCTTTGATATTCCATCTTTTTGTTATTCCGGGATTAAATCTGCATGAGCTCTATCGTTGTTATTGCGGACGAGTCTAAAAGAGGCTTCGAATTTAAGTCATATGTATATTGCATTTAGTAGCTCCATAACGTACAGGAATGCATTTTGATGCTCTTTAATGGGTAAAACGAACTGCCTTATGCGGAGAACAGCAGATTCAATTCCTTTTGTCGAGAATAGAATGACATTTCTGATCGAGGCCACACAAATCGTTCTAAAAGGAGAATAAATAGCATGACGTTTATACAATGTGTATCTTACCGTTATCTATTTGGTCTTACTCTCCTTCAGTCAACTAAATATGCTAACGTTATTATTACTCGATCTAAAAAAAAAAGAAAACAGATGCTTTATGACTTGGGTATTGGACGTGTTATCAAATCCATGACAATAAACTACATAAAGTTGTTTGTCGACGTAATTGACGAATATGGTATAATGAAAATAAGCAGGGGGGAAACTATGCCACGTACCCAACTACATACACTACACCGTAGTGACTAAAATGAATGTTATGTGAGTTTTCTTTTATCGAAAATCTGTGAACTTGAAAAATAACTCGACCAAGTCAACCATGATAGTCCCTCATTCTTCGCGTCTATTATGCTTAATCGAAAAAAGATATTTCATGGTGTACAGTTATGGTATTCAGGCTCTTTTTCAGAGTTTGGTGTTTATTTAGTCTTGTTTTGTAATACAAATTAATAATAATTAGCTAAGGTATTGGTGGCGTTGTATATGAATTACAAGTGACCCCGTATTTGCCCTAGTGACATACATGACCTTGGGAAGGTTCGCTATTTATCTATTTTGTGTCATTAAATGATCACTAAAGTATCTTGTGACGGTCTTGTGACATGTCATTTAGACTACGCCAAATGTTTGCTGTATAATATTTTTTATGTAAGATTCACAGCTTAAAGATAAACTCCAGTAGGCCTACTGGTAAAAAAAAAAAAATTAATTCTCACAGAATCAAACGAAACTTACACTGAATGTTCAAGATTACAAATAAATGACATGTGCCAAACAATTTTGGAAGAAAATGTATACTGGCTGAGTAATGAGCATAGAAAGACAAGGAAACCAAGGTAGTACCATCCCCGACACGATGTGTGTTGTCCCATATATAGCTTTCTATGTGAGTGTTTGTTACTTTACCAAGACTCGGTCAAATTTATTATGATTTTGATGACTCCAGAACCTTGCAGTGCACACCAATACTTACATGCTACATGATCAACTGTTTCTGATCCTTTCACACCTTTTCTTTCACAATGCAATCGCATTACCAGTACTAAAATTTAGCTTTAAGCAGGGAGTTTGAATGGAAGGTAGTGTATCCCTTTTGCAGGCAGCATCAAATTCTGTAGAACTTTGCAGGAATTATGAATATGTCACGTATGTCCATATCACGTATCTGTGAAATGTAAACGTTAGCAGTGTCCTATAGTATTCAAATTATGCATGGAAACCTGTCTACTTTCTAGTCATCACTGTCATACACTATTGACTGACTTCTTTTTCCCGTTGGTAATAACATACATAAAATAAGCTGTTAAGGGTACATGAGCTTTTGTCTAAATCAATAACGCACTTCTTGTAATGTCCAAAATTAAACTGATTGAATCTTTGCGCAGCACAAAACCTATTACCATTTCGGTACAGGGGTCTTAAAATCAGACTATTTAATAAACAACGGCAATCCCTAATTTCGATTCGACACCTAACGGTCGTTATTTTCCCACAAAAAGACATTTTCAAGCCCTTTTTGTTTTAAAGGTACTATGTCCCTTTTGCAGCCAACCTCAAATGCTGTAGAACTTTGCAGGAATTATGAATATGTCATGTATGTCCTATCTGTGAAATTTAAACGTTAGCAGTGTCCTCATATTCAAATTATGCAAGGAAACCCGTTTACTTGCTAGACTTCACTGTCAGACACTATTGAGTGACTGACTGGCTTTTTTTCTTCTTTGGTAATAACATACATGAAAAGAGTTGTAAAGGGTACAGAGCATTTGTCTACATCAATAACCCACTTCTTGTGATGGCCAAGATTAAACTAATTGAATCTTTGCACAGCATAAAACGTATGACCATTCGGTACAATTGTCTGAAAATCAAGACTATTACTTTTGGGCTCTATAGCCCTAAAGTCGATTTGACAACTAATAGTCGTTATTTTTCCACTTGAAGACATTTTCAAGCCCCACCTTTTTTTAGGGAAGTTCTAAATTAATATTATCTTTCAAATGCAATTGGAATTTAACTTTTTCATTTTTTTGGCCTGCAAATGGGACATAGTACCTTTAAGGGAAGTTCTAAATTACTATCTTTCAAATGCCGTTGGAATTAAACCTTTTCATTTGTTTGGCCTGCAAATGGGACATTGCAGTTTGGAGTTCTACAGAAAAACTAATTGAAAGCACTGAGAAACACTTTAACTCAATTATTTCCATTAAAATCCCAATCTTAAGCAGCTACACTTGGCTCCTATAAGTGTTTTGTAATTAACTCGTTCCCTCAATCAATGACACCATATTTGTCACTCCCACCTCAACAAAAACATACGGTGAACGTTCTTTTACCCACGCCTCCTCAGTTGTATGGATTGAACTTCCAGATTCCATGAGAAATCACAATGATTTAAATAAGTTTCAGATTTGTACACCCATGAACTCAGTGTCCAACACTGTACTTTTTTGCTTCTTAGTGGATTTTCTAATTTGTATGACTTTTTCATTTAATTCTTTCCTTTCTATTTAAGCGCATAGGGACATGCTATCCTGTAATGTGTTATGCGCTATAAAAGTACCGAGTATTACTATTACTACTGTTATTGTTTGTTTTTGCATTCTTTATCAACCAGTAGATTCTACAATTAGAGTCTTATATAAGGCCTTCAGAATCCACGATCAATACATGAAGCAGCAATATGAAGATTTCAAGCAAACAATTTATGTCAGACTCAAACCCTTGTCTTTCGTTGTGATTAACAGTGTCTGCAATGAGACTACAATATGCTCTGTTCTTTAGCCGCTCCTGTCACAACTAGGAACGGGCAGATCTAGGCTCTGCTCAAGGCTTTAGGACTTGTGTGAAAGTGTCAAAATAATGTAGAGTCTGTACTAGCAGACTACTATGTAGTATTGCTGCCATCAGTATTTAGTTGCTCACATCATCATAGGAAAGATGGATTAGCACGCCCGGCCATTGATGGGGGTTTCATAAGAGTTATATAAGACCTCTTGAAATATATACAAGGAAGCGAGGAAGAAGTGGCATTAAAAACGACTATACTATTGTGAAAATATGGAGGTGCTATAATAACAAGATTGGTTTCTAACGTGTGATCGCTGAAGTCAGTAACGGGCAGTGCGCTTTATGAAGAAATAAAGTCTATAACTCATAATACACAATTCAACATGATTATTCGACAAATCTATTAGATTCATGATATGGAATCAATTCCAAAGGGAAGTAAATTCTACCGCTGGATACGCCATTTAGTATCAGTTCGGTCAGCAGGGGCCCGGCGCCCCGCCCCTGTGAGGACAGACAAGCGGACAACAGATCAAAGTTTAATTCCTTAAAGTTAAACATATTGCATAACTAAACAAATGGTCTAGCCATGGGCAGAGTGGTGACTATATGAATAGTCTAATAAAGATTTGCATACGGCTTTACCAAAACCTCATGTAAATATTGGACACATTCACAGAGCTCAGGTATAGTATATAATGTATATACATATACACTACCTCTTCACGTGTCGTATTGATTTTTAGCGCACCCATTACCGTCAATTATTCAACAGCTTGGAAAATGTTAGCACCTAAAGTCATCTACTTTCCACCTGCTATCGAATGGACAGGTATAACTAGTCTATACAACCACCTCCCTGATACAATTAATCAAACGCTGACAACTTATGAAGACGTATCTTTGTGAACACCTCGTCTCACAAATCTACGACTGTAACACTGTCTTTGTAACCGTAAGCTAAGGCATATTTCATGTCCATATCTTGACAAGTTGCTGTTCCAGGGACTACAAACTAGAATTTTAAAAAAAAAATCTGGTTCTAGATTATGTGAGGCCCTGAGGCACCATATATTTTTGTTCTTCTTGTGAAGACCCATCCCCCGGTACCCCAAGTCAAAAAGTCGCTCCCAGGTGCGTCCATGTTCTAGACAATAATCCTAGTGTTCGTGTGCTGTATATAGGATACTGTTTTTTTTTTTAATACGAGTACTCGTATTTGATTTGTTTTCAAAGGGCTATATGAGATGCAAGATGTTAAGGTATTGATGATTGGTATTGATGGTTTCCTTTGAAAGTACTATCTAATTACACCTATGACCACGAGGTCTTTAGATATACGCAACAGATCCTTGTGGTTTACCACAGTGTAACCAAAAGGATGTATGGAAATGTGGTTAAAATGTTTGACTGACCAAACTGACCGATCGACTGACGACTGTATTTCTTCTTCCGTTTATGGACATTGTCTTGATGTCATTTTAGTTATTATAGACCATTTTCAGACGATAGAATGAGACATCTTACTATATTAATTGCATTATGGTGACACTGGAGACAACGAAGGAGAAGAATGAAAAATCCACGTCTAACAATATCGAATAAAAAGGGAACTAATTAGAAAGAAAAGGTTTAAGTTTATGACTTACCAGAGGCAGGGACCATTGATAAGATGGAGACTACGGTGATTAATGACATCAACATTTCCATCTTGAAATATAATTCTTGAAGACGAAATACCATAAAGCAAGAATGATCTTAAGATGTCACAGGCTTCGTTTCTTGGGTGATAAGCGAATCAGCACAGGTGTCCCGGTGTTATCTACGTGCATCTCACTACTAACTGCATTTTGATTTTATCAAGGTTTATACGTGATATGAAGAATGAAGGATCATGGTCATCAACAGACACGAAATTATATCGTCATCCCCTAGACTTTAAAAACACTCGGCTGACCGCCTCCGCAATTAAGACAAGATTGATCTTGCAAGTCAGGTTATGATGATCAGAATAACTCGTTGGCTGCTTTTGCTTCCTGTGCTAACAGCGCATTCAATGCATAATTTATACACTGAACATAACGAAGGCTAACACAACATTCAGGTGGCTAAATGGCTTCGCTCGGGTTCTACTTTCTCTCCTTCCACTTTCGAATTGTCAGTCTGATGGTGAATCCCTATACAATGACGTTAAATCATGGATAAAAAAAACCGTCAGACGGGCCTTGAGGCATCAAGTACTTTACGAAGAGGGTTGTTATGTGGTACATGTCTTCACCATTACCTCGTTTGAAAACCTAAACACAACATAATCAATAAAACGACCACAGGGGTAGATTGCCTGTCCAATATTGGTCCAATTCCTTAGGCTTCCATTATCATGCACATGCACGCATGTTTAATGTTTCCAAGGTACTTTTTGTCCACTTCAATGATACCAAAAAGAAGTATGGGAACGCGGTTGTTATTGTTTTTGAAAGATGAAAAGGAAGGTGAGTACTCTGTCGCACAGTTAAAAGAGCTTAGATCAACACCGCTAAAATGTTGGGATGTTCTCTTGCTTTTCTCTCTTTCTTACGCTGCAATCTTCAAGCTGGTCCAACCGTGTTCATGTTTGGTTTATAACTAGATGTCGAAACTGCTCCAAATGAACATTAAATCTTTTTTTTGCCTCAGCTAATGTTCGTTTAGTACACCTTAGTGTATTGTATCTCGAGTTAACGCAACAGATATCAACAAATGTAACTGGACGATAAAACTTGCTGAAGACAAAAATCCAGGGGTTTTAAAATCACTTTCCAAAGTCTAATAAATCGAAACGAGGATGTATGGCTTTTTCCTTAAATGAAGGTAAGCTCCTACAGCTAAGTTGCTTTATCTCAACTATCCTCTAACATCGGAGAAGAAGAAGAAATTAATGATGATCCTCATACGGAGTTTGGATAAGTTACTGAATCCTGCACTTTTAACTGAAAACCATGTAGAGCGAGTCGATTATCTCTCTCCAAGTGTACACATGCTGCGTGCTTTACAAGTGCTGTTACGATGAGTCGAGCTTGTTGAATAAATGAATAAAATAATAACTATTCATACCGAGCCAGCCCGGGGCGATTCGACAACTGCCGCATTGATGTATCATTTATCAATATGAAGAGCATTATGATAACGCGCTGCCTGCTTCACTAATACTGTTACTTCGCATCGTGTACATATTGCCTGGGAAAACTGGTGAATGGTTAACTCGTCAACAAAGTAAAGCGCAGGAGTTGAATTAACCAGGCATGAAAAAGTAAAGCTGAAGGAAAAAAATACTACCACATGACAAAAGTAGGGAATACACATGCAATTCCGTCTGCTCACTGTTGCAGGGTTTGGCCTTGTGGTGACTTCGTCAAGTAGTCGGTTTGATCAGCTAGGTAATGATCAATGACGTGGGGCCATATCGATTGGTGTCTACATGGTCGACTGAGTTGTGGCTTCTCGACGGGGAGGAGAAAGGACGAGGGTTCCACGCCTGGTCGATCACTATTATCAAGGCCTTTTCAATGGTTCCTAGACCCGAGAACAAATATAGATCCAGGCTGTGAAACGATTTAATGTTTGGCGCGCTGTCCCCTGATTGACCGATTGCCATTGTATAACCCTAACCAACAACAACATCATCAACAACAACAACAACAACAACAATATGGTGATGTAACTTGAAAATAAGATTGTTTTGTTATGGTTTCTGAAACTTCCCACATCAAAAATATTTTTTTTCGCTTGAAAAATGGAGGAAAAGCTTTTTAAACTAAAAGTGTAAGAATGATAAAAATGAAAGGATCTATAACAAAATCAGAAAAAATGTATGTCTTCATTTAAAGATACTTTGTCCCATTTGCAGGCCAAAATAATGAAATATTAAATTCCATCGGCATTTGGGCTTGAAAATGGGAAAATAACGACTATTAGTTGTCGAATGGACTTCAGTGATTCTAATCACTAAAGTAATAGTCTGATGTTCAGACCCTTGTACCGAATGGTCGTGCGTTTTGATTCAATCAGTTCAGTTTATTTTGGCCATTAAAAGAAGTGGGTTAGTACCCTTTAAAGCTCATTTTATGTGTGTTATTACCAAAGAAAAGAAGATGTCAGTCAGTCAATCAATATTGTCTGACGGTGAAGTCCAGGAAGTAAACGAGTTTCCTTGCATAATTTGAATATTAGGATACTGCTAACAAGTTTAAATTTAACAAATAGGACATACATGACATATTCATAATTCCTGCAAAGTTTTACAGAATTTGATGTTGGCTACAAAAGGGACATAGTACCTTTAAACCACACCACCCACCGGAAGACTGTTACTGGATGCCCTGGTCAGACAATGTCTGATCTCGCGCACGCTACGCCAATGTGGTACTTCATTCCTATGATTTAAGACACTATGACATCTTTTTTTTAAATTGCAAATATAAAAACCGCTTTCTTTGAAGACAGACACTTGGAATTGTAAATGTTGTGTAAAACTTTACATCATAAAGACATTCGAGTGAAGGTCTTTCGATGAAAGAACGTTATCTCGAGATCGGTCAGATAGTCTGCTATGTTTAGAGGTCGTTGTGTTGATTGGTCCCTTTCCCTGACTTGCTGCCGCCAAGCAAGCAAACGAGTTCTGACATCTATTATTAGAGAATAAATCCCTTTGTGTTTCACAAGGATTTGTCCTTCCTATTTAGAATATAGCCTTCTGAAATGAGCTCTCCGTTCTGTGATATAAGTAGTTTAGCACGGTATGAATAAAAATGTACAAGTCGACCATTTTTAATGTTACTCGAGCTATAAATATACCAGATATCTTGCCTCGTGTGGAGTATTTCATGGTTGAATACCAAATATATCAATTAATAGGCGGTTTCCCGTCAAAATTTGTATCATCATGTAATATTCAAAACATATTCTTTCACATGATTGGTGATAAGAGCTTCCATTTCATTTTTTGAAATTGGGGCGTTTCCAATACTGGTCTTTACCTTTAAAAGACGGAGGTCCTGGTCTATGATTTGAATATAAAATGTCTTTATCTATTGTATCAATAAAACGATGATAATTGCTTTTCAACTACATCACTGTTGTTTATTACCAACATTAGTATAAGGGTGTGTTCATCCTTCGGGGGGGGGGGCACTGACTTAATTCGTTTAGGGGAAGGTGAGGGGGGTGGTCGATCACTCGTGTTTTTCCCCTTCTCAGTTTTCTTTTGACTCTTTGCTCGCCTTTTATTTCTTTTGCTCATTTTTCACCATTCGATGGGGATAGGGCACATGCCAAACATGCTCACTTAAAGGTACTATGTCCCATTTGCAGGTCAAAAAAAAATGAAAAGGATAAATTCCAACGGCATTTGAAAGATAATAATAGTTTAGAACTTCCCTAAAAAGGGGGCTTGAAAATGTCTTTAAGTGGGAAAATAACGACTATTAGTTGTCAAATCGACTTAAGAGCCATAGAGCCAGTAAGCAATAGTCTGATTTTCAGACCATAGTACTGACCAAAATAAATAAATAACTTTATTTAAGAAAACAAGGTGGGGTTAATTTGCAGAGTCAAACTAAGTGAGGTTTTGAAGAAACAATTTGTGTTAATGTTATTTATAATATAGGTCAAAATGGCGATCAGTAAAAGTCATGGACTTGAAATATTAGCCAGGATTACTTTAAAATGCAAATGATGAACTGAACAGCATTTTAAGAGATTGATATTTTAGGAATCTTTTATTGGAATACTAACGCCGATTGCCCAAATATTTATTTTTAAGTTGCATTCATCTCCTACCGATATGTTGACACTTGAACGAGGGTGAAGGGTGCAAGCGTTCATCAAATAGGTCTCTTCTCCTCCATACATCATCGAATCCAATTGTGTCCTATTTATATTCCTCTATCTGTCTAGCCTATATTCTCTCCATCATGAAGAAGGGCGTCTTCATCAAAATTCTCAACATACCTGTTATGTCATTCATTCATCTCCTGTCTGTTTGTTGTTTATCTCTTGACTAATGTTCATTCTACTTCCATTTAATTTTGTGTTTGGAGGAAGGGGGGTTCTCCTAACTCATAGAATGATGTACAGGGCAGCGGTGGGATGGGGGGGTGGGGTAAGCCATTCCTTATGTATCAAGGACTTTACTATACGAACGGCGAAATACTGTTCGTTTAGATCTCTTTTTTTCTGATGTTTGTGTAGGAGACTAAATAACTTTACAGACATGTTTGTTGACAAACTTATCATTGCGTAACAAACCTTGTTTCTCCAGGGGCCATATCTACGGATGCGCACTTCGTTCGGACCGAAACCACCGTCACACCACGGACCTTCGTTGTGGGTCCACCATCACACACGGCACAGTGAAACAGGCGCCTTGAGAATAAAAGAAAGGGCATAGCGATGTGGTGGGAATGGCTCTATATTTCTATTCTCGGTTGTTATGTAATGTATCTCTTTGATAGTCACATGAATTTAAATAGAAATAGATCATTGAATACGACGCTCTTAGATGTATCCCAAGGTTATTTTGTGTTAGATTATAGTTTGGATCTAACACTCAGTCATGTCAACCAAGGAGTTGTATTTTTGTCGAGAATAATAAGGTCAGGTCGATGGATATTCCTCTTGGCTACTGACAAATATGAAAATGATCATGCTATGTCCAAGATGTTTCATGTAGAACTGGTGAGAATGACGAATACATGAAATAAACAAAATAAAGGTTGAAATCCGGAGCGGTAGATCAACCTTCGCTTGCTTACCACAGAAGTTTACATTTCTACCCGTAATCTGAAAATGGAAAATACATCTCGATACATCTATTGGATTTGGATCGTTCATTATTCAGATGGATTGTTTTTGCTCTTTGAACCAGCAATACAAATAAAACTTGTGTAAACCTCTGACAAACTCTATTTATATGAGAACGAATGTTATGAAGGTTGGTCGTGACTGTACTAACTTGATTTCATTGTTTCTTTGCTCATTACACATAGTATTTTCTATCAAAGTCGTTTGTAAAATATCATTTCTTTGTAGGTTTGATCATTCGGCACAACTTTCGTTTGATTCTTTGGGCATCCCCCCCCCCCCCTTTTTTTTACACAACGAGAGCTCAATATTACCATGAAAGAATACAGGAATATGACTATAATCGTATCAACTTGATTCCTCAAAAGTGAAAATATTTCTATTTAAATAAGCTGAGTTACTTAATTCAGTATACTACCCCCTCCCACATCACTCCACGTTAGTACTTATTCACATTACGGCGGTAGGACTGGGTTACGGGTGGGGGAGGGGGCAGGGGCGATTGGTTATGAGAGATTTCGGTACCCCTTCCTTAATTATAATGTAGCGTCGCCTCTGTATGGGTGAGCATCGTTCATGAATCGACATGTACTTCAAAGTATTCGAGAAAGAACGTTTTGAAAAGATCTATGCAAATGATATATTTAGGTACATGGTGAGAGATTCGGTGACGTAACAGACGTAAACAAGAAGGGTTAAAGCTATAATACTTATATATATAAGAGCAATTCTCCAAGTGTTGTATATTTTCCTTGGTTTTCTTGCCGCCTATCCCATTTATTTCTGATGTATTGTTATTTAATCAAAGTAATGCCTTGAAATCCAGGGAATTAACGAGCCGTACTACTTGATGTATTAAAGATAATAATAAGAGCTTAAAACCTTTCAGGATGCATTGTATCTTCAAGCAAGAAAGGCAAACTATATAGAGAAACAGATTTCAGTAGTTTGTTGACAGGACTGCAATGTTTACAGAAGGCGGCTGCATTTTGAATGCTCTCCTGGTTTTTATTGCGATTACATTTGAAGAAGGGGCGAGGTCGATCTATATCATCCACGTTGCTCTTTTTAAACCAGAAGATTGTGTTCTTATTTCCTTGTAAGTTTATTCTATGATGACTACCAACATGAATGATGTTCCTTTAGTAAATGTTCAAATGAGAAACCATTTTCAAGGGAAACAAAAAATGCGATCTTTGTAAACGGGTGATCTTTGTAGACAGGTGGTCACTAGAGCAGGTTTGGCTGTATTTATGTTATAAATATCAAAAATAATAGGAAGAAAAAAGCGAAGAGAGACAGATAGTAAGGACACTAAAAGCACAAACAATAAATGTTATTCAATAACTGCATGTTATATTCATGAATGTGTATTTGACAATGAAATACACAGCTTTCCAACGTTGTTGCTATGAGTGGTTCTGTAAAGTACTTTTAGATTATTGGGGTTCACTTGTCCTTTTACGGATAATAAAGGTCTCTGCCTTCACTTTATCATTATCTGCGTCAACCAACTTTGAAAATCAATTCGTATGATTAATTTTGAGTACTCTGTATTTTTAAAGTGTTTTTACTTATATCTACTTTTATTTCATCACTTCGGGGGGGGGGGCTACCTCAGCCCAGCGACTGATTTTCTGCAGGCCCCTGTATGCACATGAATACTAACCTTGATTTATTTTA